ACCATCTTCACAAATTTCACCCGAAAAATATAAAAAAAAAAAAAACCGATGAAATTATTTTGATGGAAGCATATTGCATATATATGTACAACATACATGTACAGGTACCTTACAGTATTTGATGCTAGCATATTCGAGACAAACGTAGGTGGGTAGAAGAAGATCCATATATTTTCATTTTAATTTTTTTTTTCTTATGTTTTAAGAGAAAAACTATTAAGAGATTAATTTTCCCTTTTAAGATAGTCAAATTATGATTAAACTTTTTTAGTCAACTAACAAATTTTTGGACGAAACCATCCAAGTGTACTTATTTAAATGTTTATGACCATGTTGTACTTTTTTTAAAAGTTTGGGACATCATTTGCAAATTTGCCTAGTGAGTCAATGTGAGATTTCTTCAACAACGGTGTTCGTTTGTGCTAAGTCCACGCAAACCCTGTTTACCTCCTAACTTGCATATACTAAACCTAACCTCCATTTTTGAATATTTCTATATACAATAACTTCAACATCGGAGTTCTTTTTCATCTCTCTCTACCCAGAAAATTACACCACAGAAAGAGGAGAGAGAGAGAGAGTCAGGAGGAATGAGTTCATATCTGCGGAAACTCAAGATTGGTCCATCCATATCATCAGATTCAGTGCACAATAAAGAAGATGAATTTGAAAACAAAGAGATGGAACGCAGTAAAGTCATGAGATCAATTGTGGAAATTCAAGATCCCACTGCAAAGGTCCCCTCAAATCTCCATCTTTCACTATTTAATCTCTCTTTTTCTGGTATTTGCATGGTTTAATATCTTCGTTGTGGACTAATTCTCTCATTCTTTTCTGGGAAAAAAACTCACTTAATTTGCTTAAGGATAGGCGTAGAATATCTTAACTCTTAACGATAACTTAAACAGAAAAATAGCTGGAGGGATTTTAGGAACTACCCAAATTCTTCTTACGGAATAACCCTATCTCTTACACTTAATCTTGTCCAAGATTAATGATACATATTGGTTAAACTGTATTTTCATGCCTAGAAAAACATACAATTATTAATAAGGATAAACTAAGGAAACTAGATTTTTCTTTTTCGTTTTCATTTACAATTTCATGTAGCAAAGATATAAATCTGGTGCAGAAATGAAGGGAGATCTTACAGTTTCCAGCTAAGTGTTGGAACTGAGGATTTTGGGATAGTGAGAAGTGATGCTTAATATCATATTTGGTTACTCATCAATACATAATAAAGCAAGTTGTGTTTCAATACTATATATTGCAGGATGTGGACAACTCTATGATCTGTAGATTTCTCCGGGCCCGTGATCTGGATCCTGAAAAGGCTTCATCTATGTTTCTCAAGTACCTAAATTGGAGGAAAGAATTTGTTCCAAATGGTTTCATATCTCCCTCAGAAATTCAAAATGATATTTCCCAAAATAAGTTATTTATGCAAGGTCGTGATAAGACAGGATCCCCTATCGTAATTGCCCTTTCTGGTCGCCATAAGCCTACCAGCGTGGAAGAGTTCAAACGTATGCAGTATTTAATAATAATGCTACTTGTACACAATGAGTCACATGATGGTTTACATACACAGATGAGACGTTCAAAAGAGAGTGAAAAATGTTTTTTTTTTTTGTTAAAGAAATCATAACTCAATCATATCTCACCATATCATGTGTATATAAACCATTATAGATATGTAGTACAACCGAGTATTTAACCTCCTTTCCTTAGTACAATTTTCTAAGATGGTCTCAACTTGTCTCCCTATTAATTCAGATTTCCTTATTTTTTTTCAGGTTTTGTTACTTACACACTTGACAAAGTATGTTCTAGGTAATTCAATTCCCCTAAATATATCAATAATTCTTCAGTAAGAAGTCTGTTTTTCCAGCTGCCACATTTCCATTTCTCCTTCTCTAGTTGACCATCCAAGAGATTTTGCTGTCTTTATATTTTCAGGATGCCAAGTGGGCACGAGAAGTTTACTGCGATCGCAGATTTAGAAGGATGGGGATATTCTAACAGTGACATTCGTGGGTACGTAGCAGCTCTCTCGATTTTACAGGTTTGTGATGTTGCCATAATAGTTTCCTAATTCATCGAATATAAACTTAATCCGCAGAAAATAAACCCAAAGGCTTATGATTGTCTTGTGGTTGGTTTAATGGCAGGATTGCTACCCAGAGAGACTAGGCAAGTTGTTTATAATTCATGTGCCTTACATATTCATGACTGCTTGGAAGGCTTTTTACCCATTCATTGACAAAAACACTAAGAAGAAGGTAATAATACCTTCACCCCCATCTGTCACTTGTGTTTATTTTCCATCAAGTTTCTATATAATATGACTGGCAATATTGTGCAGATAACTTTTGTAGAAAACAAAAAACTGGAACTGACCCTGCTTCAACACATTGATGAGAGTCAACTACCGGAAAGATATGGAGGCAAACTACAATTAGTTCCCATTCAAGAATCTTGATTTGTTTCTGTATCAAATTCTATGAAGAAGATGCTATAGTTCCATACATCATTTAACCAATTTCAAATTTCGCTTTGCTGGTGCATCAGAGCAGAGAAGTAATAATACGGAATCTTTATTATGACACAGAAAAATCTAAAACTCCCAAGCATGCTTCAATTTTCTCAACACATGATAAAACCTTGTGTTTTGTTGAATGTAAGGGTGCCTAAGCCTAAACATTTCCTTAAGATACTGTATGATCATGTTTTTCCCAGATTGCTCTTTTGTTCTGTCATTTTTGTATAGATGTGTATAATTGCTGCACACAAAATTGAGGCACTCCTTCAAAATGTGATGCTGCTTTTCATCTTTGACTAAAGCAAAAGCAAGAGCACAAGGATTTAGAGAACAGCCTCGATCGCACCACAATAGTAACTCACTAGATCTTATATCATGAATGTTATGCATCTCCTTTAATATTACTATTCTATATTTTGTAAAAGTTCTTTTTTCAGTCTGCCATCCACCCTGCAATGTAACAGTTCATCGGGTACCCTACATAAAATTGATAAATGAGTTGAGGGTTCATATCCTAGTCATAGAAAGTAGAAAACCTAAATATTTGAGTTGCACTTTGGCTTAGCTTAATCACCTTCTCCAATAATCTCTGACAACATTCTTTAAATTCTCATCTTTAATCACTTTCAACTTCTTTCCCATTTCTTTAAGTAAGGCCAACTGCAACCACTAATGTATATCCACAACTTACAACTTCTAACTCATGAGTCAGTGAGTTCGGTGACTCAATGACAAGCACAACAGTAAAGCTCAGGAAATCAAACACTAGCCATCTTACCCTGCTCATAATTAATTAAGCTTGGTGAAAAAATGCAGCCCAGTGCATATTTGTTAGGGTTAGTAATATGACCTTTTGGTTAAAAATTACCCAACTATTCCACTTTCGTCTCAGTTCATGGGGAGGACAAATACGAGTCAATTCATTCATTCCTACTAGTATAGTTCGCAACCAACAAATCAAAGGAAAATGACTATAAGACGAAGCCAGTTTTATTTAAAAAATATGGCCTCAGTTCAAACTGGGGACCTCAATACAAATCCATGTCAAATGAAGCATAATTAGCAAGGAAATATAAAAAAGGGAAAACAACTTACAAAAAATTATAAAAAGAGAGTTCAAATAGTAGATCTGGCTTCCCAGGCTCATTTTAATGATTAAATATAGAAATAATCATCATTTAAATTCTCACCCAATCATTAACTTATTCTCTTCCAAGAAGCTGTAAGTGGGCACCTCCAGATTAAATGGTGCAGGACCTTTACGAATCCTTCCAGAGATGTCATAATGGGAACCATGGCATGGACAAAACCAACCACCAAAATCACCAGCATTTGGTAGTGGGATGCACCCCAGATGGGTGCAAACCCCAACTACCACAAGCCATTCGGGATTCTTAACCCGGACAGCATCATCTTGTGGATCACGAAGGGAACCAACATCAACACTGTTGGCCAATTTGATGTCCTCTTCAGTTCGACGTCTGATGAAAACTGGCTTCCCACGCCACTTGACAGTAACAGTTGTCCCTGGTTCAATGCTGGATAAGTCAACCTCTAGGGAGGCAAGAGCAAGAACGTCTTTACTGGCAGACATGCTCAACACAAATTTAAGAACCAGGAGACGGAGCAATGAGGCGTACACAAACCTGCCTCCAGTCAAAACAAAATAGGCAAAAGCACGTTTGCTAGGGTCGCCAGGTGGATAACGCTCATGGTTGTGCTCATCATAGGTAATCTTTGAACTAGGATTCTTGATAGCTGCCACTGTAGCTGATACATCTGAGATTAAACCCATCTCATGAGCAGCTGGGGCAATCGAACCAGAAGAAAACCCTGCCAATGTCGATTAATGGTTGATAAATCATAACAAGCATCAGTAAATAGCCCAAGAATAGCATAGGATGGCAATGTGCTAATCGCATTAAATGTATCCCATCGGTGATCCCAAAATTCAGAACATGTAGGAGAAGGCAGCTAGCGCAACCAGAGAGATCCATGGCATATTCTTGTGCACACGTGAATGTAATCTTTTGTTACACAAATGTAATGACTAGCAATTCAGAATAACCAAAAGACTTCACTATCATAAGAAGGGTAGATGGCAGAGCCAAACACACAAAACAACATTGAGATTAAGAGAATCCACTGAAGCCAAGCATGTAAATATAAGGTAATAGGATACACGTAGAAGAGTCTTCAATAAGAGAAATAGAGTTACAGGATTGGCATTGATCCAGAAATGGATGGAGCTTTAATCAAAGAAATAGAGTAAAAGTAGCAGGATAATCAATCCCTAGCCATAGTGTTAAGATAAGTACCTGCAACCAACTGTTTTCCTTTCATCCAAAAACACGTTGGCTTTATTCAAATAGGACCCATTACAATGAATGCAAACAAAGACAAACATGTCTTAGATTCTATCCAAATACATGTTCTCAAATTGGATGCAACGGCTTTAATTTTCTAACTAAAGGCATCCATCTATTGAATAATCAATCCTTGGATCAAAGACTGCACACAGTCTGAATCTACTTTCCGTTTTCCTTTTTTCTTTTTTTTTTTGGGAAAATGTATTCAAGAATCAGAAAGGGTTTTTAGGCCAGCTCACCAAAACCTGAATGGGGGATTTGGCTTTTCCCCTGCCATAGTTTATTGATTGAAAAATATGGACGCAGAAGGGGGTATAATACCTAACCTCCAACTCAAAGAGAATCCTATACAGCTTACAAAGAATTTAAGACTAAAGAATCAATAAATTGTTTTAATAATAGACTCTACATGAAGCAAAGAAATTTAAAGAAGACTGCATAAATTTTGAATCTAATTAATGGCTAATAATACGAATTTATTTTTCGTTCCAAACCTAAAAATTGACTATTATTTCCTTCCAAACCATTCAAAAGATTGATGTATGACTATAATAAGCTATAATAAGCATAGCTCAATCCATAGCAAATGGTATAGAAATCTATCTTAAAGGTCAATATATTACACAGTTTCTAAGTCTTTCAGACTTGAGGCCTTTTGCCAGCAATGTCAATTCTCTTACTTTGATCCATACCATTAAACAGATGGACACTGGGTATAACATCACATGGTCGAGTTTGCTGACTGATTCAGTTAAGATCCCTCTTAACAAGTTAACTAACAAAGGTAGGAAGAAAATTAAGGCCAGAGGACCAAAAACTCCCAGGCAGACCACAATAGTTGATTGTTCCTATGCTAATAATGTAATTGCAAGCTTGACAGATATTGCACAAGCAGCAAATCGTACCAAGAAAAGTAATAAGAAAAGAGTAGCATTTTTTGCAAAACGGGTTATATCATTTCAGTCATGGAAAGATCCTCTTCTCAGATTGTCGTCATCATCTTGTTGAAAACAGGGACATAGAAATATATTAATAACAGCAAAATCAAATCATAGAAAGAGAACCAGCAGTTATATTCATTAGTTTCACAAAAAGCAACAAAAATTTCACCATCTACATGACAAAACAAAAATTCAGGGTATAGCTTCCGTAATTTTAATTTAATCCACATGACAACCCTATGTAGGATAGAAGGGAAATGAATAGCGCACGTCACATCACAATCCAAACGCACAAGTAGTTTCAGTTTATAAAGCACCCGACCTCCACCATAAACAAATACCCAACCATTATTAATTTCATTTTGTATTAATATATCAATAATCAAAAGATTCAAACTTTATCCGAAACAAATAACTAGCCAAAATTCCAAAGTCTCTATTTTGATTATTCCCCCAAACTCTTACATCTCAAAGAACAGAAACAAGTCGAGATCATAATATGTCGAATGAAACCCTATCAATGACAAGGACAATAGTTTACCCATAATTTGATGGAGAACAGCGGATGTAGGGGGCAAATGGTGGGGAGAAGGGATGGATCTGGTTGAATTATCGCAAGAATCGATGCCGTTAATTGGATTTCTGCTCACGAAAGCGGCCGCCGGAGAGGACTGAGCCGATCGCCATGAGAGAGAAGAAAACCTCCTTCCCGCCACTCTTAACATCTTCGATTGTTTTCCGAGTGCTATAGGGTTTCGCTCTGCTCAGAAGTTTGCAAGGTCGGAGAGAAGGAAAAAGGATTTCTGCTTCGTCCGCGAAGAGCAATAAATTAATTAAGGAAACAATTACAATGGAGGTCCTCAATTTATTAAATTTATCCAAACGGGTTCACAAGTGATTTTTATAGTATATTAGTCCTCGATCTTTAGTTGTTTAACAAATGAATTCCAACGTTTGACTTTGTAACACTAAAGTACCTAGTGGATTGTTACATTGACAATCTTCTAAATGCTAAAGTTGAACAATGATACGGTTGTGCTGAGTGAGGAGGTGTGATTGGCCTTGGTGTGGTTATTTGGGATCATTTGTGGGGTTGTGAAGGCGACTATTTCCAAACATGTTATAGGATGTTGAAGCACTTGCATTGAAGGAGGGTTTGATGTTACTATTATGTATTTTCTATAAAGTAATTATCCAACAAGTATACGGTATCAAGTTTTGTAATATAATAATGGAGTAGGATGTCGAATCCACAATGACTGATATTCAATTTATATTAAGTACTATAATTATTTTAACTTCTATTTTATTTTGACAAATGAATGTTAAGGACCGTTTAATAGGTAAAGGTGGAAAGGAATTCTAATTCCATGTTAGTTGGAAAATAAAAACCCACCAAACTCATAGAAATTCCTTTTCCATAAAAAAAAAATGCAGCTTAAAGTTGTTTTACATTGGAATTCGATTTCCATTTTCATGTTGCAATCAAACAGCCAAAGTGAAATTCGTTTTCCTTGAATGTGACATTTTCCATGGAATTCATTGCAATCAAATATGGCCTTATAGTCAATGGTTTTAACTAATCTAATAAGATGAATACTGTGAAAATTCAACAATATTATGTAAACTT